TCCTTGCTACCGCGATCTCGCCCACAGGAAGCCGCGACCGCGTGGCAGCAGGGAAAATGGCCGCGGATCCGGTTTGTAACTCGAGGCGGAGTTCGCAAGTAGAGGTAAATTTTTGGGGCTGGAGCTGGTCGTATCTCGAAAAATTCCTAAGGAGGGGCGTTCGTAACTAGAGGTACCACTGTACTTGTGAACAAATAAAACTTTAGAAATAGAAGATGTTTAGCAAAACACACATAAATCTATTTCCAAGGAAGTTAAAAATTTCTGAAATTACACCATTATTTTGAAATTTGAGAAGTGCTGTTACCTAGTTCCAAAACGTCATTAGGAGACAAACTTTTATTACTACAATACTGCTTCAGAACCTTTTCCAAGTAGACTGCAGTTTTCTTTTGGGAAACTTTCCGAACGTAGAAATGACAAGGATTTATTACACAACTGACAACAACAAATTCAGGAACTTCTGTGTAAGATAGAAGATAAAATGAATGAATGAAGCAAAATAATATGCACGTTTTTATACATACATTCATGAAAACTCAAGTTATTAGTGCAGAAATGAAGGACTTGTTAAGAAATTAGCAAACTGGATTTCCTAAATTAAGATTTCCATACAGAAAAATGTGCTGAATGAAATAGCACAATGTCTACTTGGAAACAGCAGCATCTGACTCAGCAATACTAGTCAACTGTTTTAGCATTAGTACCGGTCTATTTACATCTCTCAATAATAAACAGTCATGTTACATCATTCGAAATGTTACTATACTTGATTATTCTGAATGTAACACATTCTGCATTACAAACCAATTGTCCAATTTAAATACTACTACTTAAAGAAAATGTGTGTCTATTCCATGAACTTCCTCTCATACACTTGAGCTAAATTCTCAAAGTTACTGTTATAAAAAGAAGGGGTGCTGACATTTCTTACTACATTCCAAAAATCAAAACATTAAACCAATTATATTGTGACATTTTATTCTGCTAGATCACAGTTACGTACCTGCTTTTGGCCCAAATGGGACCTGCCGTTTTTTTAAAAGACTTTTATGATATGTAAATTCAGGATATTCTGCAGGATGTACTTGGAAAAGAAAAATATTTAAATCAACTCCATATGTGAATATTATTCCCATGGAACAAATTCACTGAAGAACTGATTATACAACATAAGAGACTCAATGACTAGCCTTCTAAAGCCAAGTTCAGAAGTCAAGCTCACAGCTTTCCATTTTGCCCTGAGAAGTCTATTCTGAGAAATCAGAAGAGTCACTGGCAACTGTGTGTGTGTTAAACCAAGCAAGATGGTGGGAGATGCCACTTCAATGAATGCCACTGGTCACTACCTTCTGTATCACTATCCAGAGTTTAATGAACTTCCAAGGCTGATTCTTGGCTAACACACACACACACACACATTTTATAAGATGGTTATGGTCATGTTTTTTATTTGTTTTGCTGAACTTTGATTATCTCACTCTCCAAACACTTACTTGTGAAATACAACCATCAGGTAAATTTATTCTTGTCCAATTTAAATGCTACTACTTATAGAATGAGCATGAAACTGAGCAAACTCAGGGAGGCAGTGAAGGACAGGAAGGCCTGGCGCAATATGGTTCATGGAGTCACGAAGAGTCAGACATGACTTAACGACTAAACAACAACAACAACTTATAGAAACTTCCACACCATTATCTAAATCTTGCATATCACAAAAAGGCACACAACACGTAACTCTTCATGAGTTGCTATTTGCTAGGAAAAGGCATTCTCAATCTTAGAGTGGGCTATTTGTGATTCTTTAGTTAAAAGAAGTGAACCATTTGTTGTTCTTGGTTGCTGAACCACAGCTCCTAGTAACTCCAGCCATCATGCTCAATAGTGATGGGATGCTCAGAACTATAGTTCAACATCTGGCACGTTCTGCTGCTGCAAAGCACTGCATATGTATGACACATCTGTATACTTTTTAGAAACTGTGAACATTTTAAAAGAGAAAGGGTATTACAGCTTTAATGTAACAAATCTTACAACTGTTTAAAGCTCCTACTCACTTTCTTGATCATCTTCAATTATTTCTTCAATAACAACATCTGGGGTAGACGCAGCCTGAGGTAACACAGCAATGCATTTTTGAATGGATAATGGACCCAATTCTTGCAGTTGGGTCCCTTCGAAACATGTATCAGATTCTTGCAAAGGAGTAATTACATCAATTTCTTTATCAAGTTTTACATTTACTTGACTTGAAGTATCAAGTTCATTGTTCACTTTTAGAGAGTTGTCTTCAAAACTGTTCCTAAGGTGATCAATTATCCAAAAAATACTGATTGATTAAACATTATTTTAGCACAAGAGATCAAACAATAGAAATAATGAAATTTCCATTAAACCTGAAGGCCACGTACAACCCTTGCATCAATTTTTTTCAGCCCCAGATCACCTTCAGATTACTTCACCAAAATCTTACAGCAAAATCACTGATTTTCAACAGCATCTTTTTTATTTTCAACTGCACTTTTATCAAACGAAACAAAATGTGGGGAAAAATTGAAAATACATCAAAAAAGAAAAGAAAAAGAAAACAGATGGAACAAAACAAACCAAAAAAGCGAGGTACAGCACCTATATACCTCACAATAAAATTTATGCATCTATATTGAATATTTCTATCCAGAAAGGCATCTGTAGATGAACGCAATCACTTCAGAAAAAAATTCATTAGTATAGATAATGAATGGCTAGGATACACCTATATTCAACTGGATTCTTTAAAACTTTTCAATATTGTGTTCATTTCTCAGCCAAATTTCCATCCTTTTAAAGATAATGGTCCAAAGAAAGATGCATTCCAAGTACACATGAATACACATCTAGCAGCAACATTAAACAAATTAATTTTATAATTCTTATACAACACAATCTAAAAAAAATCACAATTTAATTTTGTGTACTGCTACTTATGGACTATTTTCTATAGATTATCTCCACGGTTAAATCTTTAATCTTGAGTTTCAGCTATGTGCTAGCTTACGTTCCAGTGTTACATAAATGTGCCTTTTGCTCCTAAATTTCCCTACTTCTCTGACATAACCACAGGATCAGAAAAAAAAAATCTTAATTTGTTGTAGCTTAACTATACTGTATCTCGACACCTTATAATCAGTTTTCACTGGTCTGAACTTATTTTAATAATCCATAAGTCTAACCATAGTTTGTATCAATTTCACATGCAATACTTAACTATGATTAAAAAGTTTCTGAATTTATCACAGCTGCCCCCAAGGACAAGAACGAGCATAAAACTGTATATAGTGACCATAAGGCTCTATTTATACATTACACTAAACCATAATGTAATTTCTTTGTATTTAAATTTGCATCCTAGTCATTACAATTTGTAAACCATGATTTAGGCTCTTTGTTCTATGTAACCAGGATACTTTGAATTGCTCATTATTAAAATAAATCCTGACTTGGTGCTAGCCAATTTACATCCATACCAAGCCCACTTTGTGGAATAGAGGCATAGAACTTTGGGGGGGGGGGGTTGAAGATTGCACCTGATCACTGAATGCTTAGAAGTGGCCTCACTCTCTAAATGGGTCAATAATGATTATTTGATTTGATTTAATTTAAAATATAACTGACTCATATATTTAATAATTTTCATCTCATATTCAATTAAAAATGACAAATTGGAAAATATTTTCACTGAGTACAGTACAATCAAAAGTTTGAGGAGCCACAGATTTACAGTCATGTAAATATCATCAAAGATCTCATAATAGGAATTATGCTAAATACCACTGAAAATCAGGAGGATAGATACACTTAGTGATCTTAACAGAAAACCTCATTTGTGCTTCTGCACAGTACTTAATAATGCAAACCTTTCTAAATAAAGTTCATAGACAGCATGATCAGAAGTACAAATGCAACTTGTAATTGTTGCTCCAAAAGCAACCAGAAATCTTGTTACTGATTGGAATAATCAGTATTAAAGATAAAGTCTCCTTCAAGCTGAGCTTCAGTGCTCTCTTGTCAACAATATGAGGGTGGTTTTCCATTCCCTTCTTTCAAGATTCCCCCCCCCCCAATTTTATACCCAAATCAGCAGCCCTGGAATCTTCCTGTGTTCTTCAAACCAAAGACTATTTTAACTCTTTAATTTTCATTTTTAAGATCAGCCATGGTTGCATGGGTGCTATCTCCAGTTTATTTCCTTTTCTTAGTACTGTTTGTTCTTTATACCCATAAGTGCCTGAATAGAAGGTATCCTGTATTATTTAAGGAAGATATTATATAAATTAAAGACACTAACATAGGTGAATACTAAACCACTGTGTGGTTTATACACAACAAAATACTTACACATTTGAGCCATCATAGGAAAATTTGCCTATGTTTTCAAACATATGATTTATCTCATCACAGTCCATGTAAAACCTGTATTAGGAATATACAATCCACATTACGAATATATTTTCTGGACACTGTTTTAAGCATATAATTGAGATTGTCTCATTGATGGCTCTTATCAATGCACAACTAACTCCTTCCGCCAACATAATAGCTTTCATTAGTGGGATGATGAGAGCCCATTTCACCTCTCACCTGCAGGTCCCCAAGTGTACTCATATGTCTACTGTGGATGTCTGTGGAGGCAGGGAGAAAATGTGTGCAATGCTAGAATTTGCTTTCATCTTTTAATGAAATATCAAACTTTTTATATTATTGAATTCTAATGCAATCTAAGAAGCTTACCTGGGAATTAATAGTGGTTGTTGAGAAATTAATTCCAAAATATGTAAAGACACTTGGCTGAATGTTTAAAACAAGCACAAATCTACAACTAAATAATTAACTGCTGTTCCAAGTAACTGATCCTGCTGAACCTTCTCAAAAAAGTGTATTAACTTTGGAAGACACCATAATTATTTAATCAATATACAGCATACAAAGCAGTACATGCAACAGATTCAGTTTACCTTTTTGTCCCATAAATTTGTCTGCTCTACATAGGACCTGTGAAAGAACCTCCACTGAATTTTCCATGCAGAATCCTAGAACCTCATCATGAATATACCAAAAAACTTAATTATCATCTTCTTAATTCTATGGGTGCATTTACAAATTGCACTAAATCATATGATTTGTTTTAGCTTGTGTATTATCTGAATGAATACCAACTGAAATATGACAAGAAACAGAAAAAGAATCAGTCAAGGTTCTAACCAAGTTATGCCAGCAAATCTGGAGAAAGACACAGTGGCCAACAGATTGAAAGAAGTCAATCTACATTCCAATACAAAAAAAAAAAAAGAGAAACAGAAAGTGAAAACTATCGTACAATAGCCTTAATTTCATGTGCTAGCAAAATAATTCAACCCTGATTGCTCA